CCTTTAATCCAAAGGAGATTGAAACAAAATGATCACTTGATGTAGTATCAGTAGCAACATCCCTTTGGATCTCCCCCTTAGACTCATGTTTATATTATATGTCGCAGCCATGTGAAGGTGGACCCACGTCGAGGTGGCCTCTGCCGACCTTTTGGCCCTTTGTTAACGGACATGGACGTCAGCGTTTGAGCGTCCTTCCCCTTCTCTCTCTCTCTCTTGAGGGAATGGTGGTGGCCGGACCGAGGCATCACGGCGACCCATCCACCGTCGAAGGAGAAGCGTGCAGTCTCGACCTTTTGTGCTTTGCCTGCCGTGACGATGGTCAGAAAGCTCGCACCTCCTTCGATACTCGCTCCTCTCTCTCTCTCTCACCTGTAACTTCTTCCACTCCCACCGTGCGTGCAAAGGTGGACGGAATGCCGTGGTTGCTGCTCTCACAAACAACAAACAGCGGTAGACTCCACGGCAAAGGAGATACTCCACAGAAACGTTCTATTGACAGGAAATCATACTTGCAACGAGAAGAAATGCCCCCTCCTCCTATACAGGGTGTTTCTACCATAAACATTTAGCTTATACTTAAACAAATCAAGGTGAAGCCTAAGCTAAATTGCATTGCATATTTAAATTTCGGGATAAAACATGAACCGCATAAACAACCCAATGTGTTAGTGTAGGACCACTTAATTAGATATCATCAGTGGAGCAGCATCTTTGAAGGTTCCGAGATGCTTCGAATATGAAATCCCCATTCATCGGCTTGTCTTCTTAAGAACAAGTTGTAATAATAATAATATTATTATCGTTAGATAACCTATCCAGGCAAAAAGCAGATTCTTATCAATAAAATAATGCCATAAATTAAAACTGGATAGATTAGACATAGTCTTTGAAGTAATATAACTATATTGGTAGGAGCCTCGATAGGTCCTTTTATATTGACCAAACTAGTTGATGAACAATCATGAAAGATTGTATGTACACACAACAAGTTTTTCTCATATTAATTTCCTTAAAGCAAGATGATAGTTCCTCTGTGATCACACAAAACATATTATGTGCTTATTAGTAATAATTGCACATCCTACATATGCACGCATAGGCAACTAAGTAATTTATCCTCAAGATCAGAAATCTAGTACTAGAATTGTTCGCTTCACCTTCCGGCGACGTCGCTACCGCCGACCGAGAGACCATCTATAGAGAAATCGGACAAGTGCTCGTCGGCCTTGGACAACATGTACGCTGCGTCCATCATGCTCGGCCGCTTTGATGGGTCCTTGTGCAGACAGGCCCTCGCCACGTTCATGACGCTCACCACGCTCTCCACGGAGCAGGACTGCCCCGCCAGAGCGGCGTCCACCCACTGCAGCAGACTCTCCTCCAGCCTCCCGGCCGTGCTCTGGAACAACCTGCCCGCCTCCGACCATAGTGCCTCCCCGTCCTCGTTGACGGCCTCCCGGCCAGTGATGAGTTCCAGGAGGACGACCCCGAAGGAGAAGACGTCCATCTTGGTGGTGACGAGGCCGTCTGTCAGGTACTCGGGGGCGACGTAGCCCTGCGTGCCGACGATGTGGGTGGTGATGGCGTTGCAGCCGGTGCTGGCGAGGCCGAAGTTGGCGATCTTGGCATGGAGGTTGCCGTCGAGGAGGACGTTGCTGGTCTTGATGTCCTTGTGGACGACGCGGGGCCAGGTGTGCTCGTGGATATACTGGAGGCCACTGGCGACGTCGAGGGCGATGCGGAGCCTGGTGCGCCAGTCCAGCTTGCGGGCGGAAGCCGGGTTGCCGAGCCAATCGTCGAGGGAACCGTTCTCCACGTACTCGTAGACGAGGTAGGTGGTGCCTTCCTTGGCGTCGATGCAGAAGCCTTCCAGCTTCACCAGGTTGGTGTGGTTCACCTTCATTCATTCAACTCTCAGATTCACGTACGGTACACCGTAAACGAATACCAAAGCAGAAATCACCCATCGCAAATATTTTTTTGATCCAGCAATTTTAAGAGCTTAAGACTTAGTTTTAAACACTTGGACAACTTTCATGAGTCCTACGGAAAAAGAAATAATAATTCTTCGATGTTTCTGCCGTCATTGATATGCTCCGTCCTATGTATGTCACATATGGCAACTCAGTTTTGTTCTCTCTTCTGGTCCAACTCCGTCGACTCCACTATGTTTTTGTTCCCCTTACTAACGCACACGTCAACAACATGATGATAGAACAGTTGTTTTCAAACAATGGAATCAATTGAACACGCACTGAAATCGTCAAAGATGAGATAAGACCTCACTAACGTTAAAGTCGAAAAGAAACAGAGAATTGAGTGAGACTTGTCTGACCTTCTGCAGGATCTTGAGCTCGTCGCAGGCGTTCCACTTCATCTTCTTCACCGCGAACACCTCGCCGCCGATCGTCCCCTTGTAGACCGACCCCTTTATCAGCCGGCTATCGTCGAAGCCCGACGTCGCATCACGCAGTTCCTCCACGTCGAACACCTTGTACTTGTCCAGCCACTCCGATATGTCCGTTATCAGCTTGCCATCTCCCGACGCCGATTTGCCCATCCTCGACTCCCCTCCTCCCTTCCCGCTCCTCTCCATGCTACTGTAGTTGCCACCCTTCCCCACTTCCTCCCCCTTTCTATTTGATCTCCTCCAACACCAAGCCAGCAGCAGCAACTGCAGCGCGCACAGAGCACCTAAGCCCCCTGCCAGCCCAGCGATGACTCCCTTGTTCTCGTTCTTCTCGACCACGGGAGCGGAGGCTGTAGGCGGTGAAGCTGGAGCTTCTGACAACACGTTTGTTCGCAGCAGGGGTGGGGGAATTTGATACAGGGGAACGAAAATATCAGAGAAGGTCATGTTTTCTGGTCCGTTCAGATCGGTGAGAGTCTGGACGTCCGTGGCGAAGCTTGCGGCGACCGAGGCGTACGTATCAGATGGCTGAAGAACGTAGGTGACGAGGCCGAGGATGTTCTTGCCGTTGATGGTGTTGTTCTTAAGGCACTGGCAGAAGATGGGGAAGTTGACGATGACGCCGATCTGGAGGTCCTCAGGGACGAGGGTGGGGTTCACCAGCTCGACGGCTGGGTAGGCGGTGAGGTTGCCGTACGTGACGGTGGAGACCAAGTAGAAGGTGTCGTCGGCTTTGATCTGGTAGTAGGCAGGCGAGTAGGAGCGATTCCGGTCGCAGGAGCAGGTGAGGGGAACGAGGAGGAGCTGGCCCTGGCGGAGGGGAAGGGTCGAGTCGGCGACGGTGAGGTTGGTGGTCCGGGCGATCATGGCGCGGCTGACGCCGAAGAGGTCGCCGACGGAGGCGAGGTCGACGGAGAGGGGTACCTCGGTGGGTTCGGCGCGGTACAGCGCGTAGGCCTGGCATGGGTAGATGCTCCGGTCGGCGGAGCAGCGCACGCCGTCGGAGAGCTGGGGCGCCGGCACTTGGCCCTTTGCTTGTGGAAGCAGGAGGGAGAGGCTGAGAAGGAGAAGGGAAGGGATGGTTGGGTCCAGCGGTGGGCAGGAGTTGGCTCTTGTCCTCATCTTCTCGCTTCGCTTTCCCTTCGTCCAGCGGAAGCGAATTATCGCTATAAAAGAAGAGAGGAAATCCGTGAGAGACCCAGAGGTTTGTCTCAGGTCGTGGCAGGCCTTCGGTCTTCCCCAGTATCCACGTTGGTCAAACTTGTTGACTTTACAATGGAGCCAACCTATACGTGTTTTCACCGGCTGAAGCGGAAAATATAACTGTGTGTTTTGAAGCAAGTTCGAAAGTATAACCAAAGGTCATTAAACAGGTATTAGATCTTATCGATCAGTAATCCGACCATCTGTTGTCTGGATCGACTTTATGACGCCTTAATTTCTAACAACCTGGTTAATCACATCGTTTCACGTGATTTCGACTGGGATCCAATAATAATGTCTTTTGACGTGACCGCCGTGCCTCGCATGATTTTACTTCTTTCATGTGGACTTGCTCCAATCCTTCCAGATTTCCATAGAAAATGCTCTTGGCGGCCTGCAGCCCTGCAGCCCCAGTCATAAGGTGTCTTTGTCTTTGCTGCTGACCCGAGCACATCTACACCAGCTCACACTGGAATATGATATTACTTTAGACAACGACTGCAGAGAAATAATCTGATAAATATTCTAAAGATCTCTAATCCAATTTAACAATTATGTAAAATCATATAAAATTGTTTTGATCCAATAACGTAAATCCCTTTACCGAGAGAAACCGACACCTTATTCACCCATGTTGTTGGTCACTAGGCTCATTTATGTCAAGATCGTCACGTTCTATCTGTGCAGGGGATAGGCACATCTACACCAGCTCACTAGGCTCATCGAGGATTTGTATTTATGTTGTTGATTGAGGGGGCGATTCCTTTTCCGAAGAAGAGGGAGGAAGGAGACGAAGAGAGGCCGTTTAAGTGACCGCAATCGATGGGCCAGTTCGGGCTTCTTTGAGATGAGCCCGAGCGGTCCGGTTCGATCGTGAATGAATGAATAGTATTAGAACATAATCTAATATTGAACTATATTTATAGCACGGTTAGGAGTTGGGTAATCGACATATGGTAATATAATAGTTATATATGAAAAATTAGCAAGATTATAAAACAAAAAAAAATTGAGAAAAGGATTTTTTTTGTGAAACAAAATAAGAAAATTGAGACTATTAAAACCTTGATGAAGATAATTAGAAATATATAAATTAAAAATGTTGATAATTAGCAGTGGGCCCAAGACAACGACTCGCATCTGCACCCAAACTAACCCAAACAGTGTGACCGTCGCGGCGCCTAATTGATGCGGACCCCACGGGTGTCGATGCACATTTCACCACCAACAACGATAAGGATGTCACTAACTTGGGGACCCCCGGGAACAAACAAGCGAGTATCACATGTGCCGAGTGGGTTGGGTCGATGCTGGAGTCGAGGACGGGCCATCGACCACACACGGACTGGGGAGCATGAAGGCGAGCAAAGCAATCATGGCATGCGCAGAGTGGTTAGGAGCGGGCGTTTCCTGGCCACAAACCCAGGCGCCACAAGCGAAAGCCGCAGCACCACCACCACCGCGAAAGGAGTCGGTCCCTCGTGGCCATCGTGAGGTGAGAGAGCCGCGGGGAGCTGAAAAATTGCATTAAGAGCGAGCCCAACTCACTCCCAAGTCCGCACGCCACACACTGTCCGCGGTCGTCCCACGCCTACGACCACAGCCACGCGTTCCGTATCGACGACAGAGGTCTTCTTTATGGTCCATGCTAATCCACCGGCCGACGGTGGAGCTGGAGTCGGAACCGGCCTTGACGGCGCCGGCGCCGGTGGCTCCTTCTCGGTCCAGCATCAGGTTAGGGCCCTGGGCATGTCGCTCACGGGCCCGGTGAGCTCCCCTGCCGGGACGTTGTCCGATGAGGCCGCCAAGAAGATCCGGAAGCCCTACACCATCACCAAGTCTAGGGAGAGCTGGACCGAGCAAGAGCACGACAAGTTCCTCGAGGCGCTTCAGCTGTGAGTCGCCTTTCTCTCTTGTCGGAGTTCTTGTTCTTGTGGTTCTTGGTGGAATTTGGTTAATGGACCTTTTCGTCCTTTGGGACGTCGACTTTTCATTTTGCAATTGGGTGGAGTGGATTACGACTGGTTATAAGCTGAGATGTATGTTGGATCTTTCATTTGTTTCTGCTGCCTAGATGCTCTTTTTATCGTTCCCTTTTATCTTTTTGTTGATACTAGCGCCTAATAATATAAAGGGGAACAAAACTCTCGAGTAATGGAACATAAATTTAGCTGTACAAGTAGGTAGAATAAGAGCATGCCTTTGGTATCATGTAGACCATGCAGCTATAGATACTCTAGGTGCCTAATTCTCATGCTTTTCTCTTGATTGAAAGGGAAAAAGAGAGCAGCCAATTCTTTTCCATTTCAAGATAATCCAATGACATGTATTTCTTCACCCTATCCAATGATAATCTAGGTGCCTTTTTTTTTCACTTTGATAAAAAGCAACCGGCAATGGCTGTTATTCACTTTTCTTATTGATCTATAATGGATCTATAATGATTATTACAGCGGCTGTTAATTCAACACTTTTTTGTGGCTGAATAGGACATCTACATTGCTTCTTGCAATTAGTTTATTTTCATATGAGAGCAAAAGTTCACTTTACCTTCGAATCTGTAAGTTGAGTGTCTTTTGGACACTAGACAGGAAATGTATTGGAGGATCAAATTCCAACACCTGGATAATATCCAAATTTTTTTGAAAACAAAGAGTCAACTACGCTTCCCCTATGGTTTTTTGTAAGAGATTTCTAGATTGTTAATTATGGCTTCTAAGTGAAATTGAAGTGATCTAATGCAATAATTCTTTGTGACCATATTCAAGAGTGTCTTGACAAAATGAGAGCATATACATAATTGAAAAGTTTCTAGCATGAATTTCTGAGGCAAATAAGCATATGGAACTAACTTCCTTCCTACCCTAATAAGTTATTTGCCTGAGCTTTGATTTATGGAACCATTGGTATGCAAAAAATAAGGAAATATGAAGAATGTTGTTTTTAACTGACATCTTTGTTTGAACAATCACTGGGATCAGGACTGATAAGTATTTTTTATTACTAATGGTATATCATGTATGGGGGACGTCGAAAGTACATGCATGACTTCACAATCTTTCTTGATTCTAGTGCAATGCATGATATTTACCTCTGTCAAGTTGTATACAATATAGCTAAAATGAATGAAACCTACTTCTGTGGGTGCAATCTCTTCTTTCTTGAAGATAGATTGCCCATTTGCAACACAGGGTACTTCTGCTTTCTCAAATGCTGGGAGTTAAATCTTTAAGACTTGTCTTCTGGTCTTCTGATTTTTGCAGTTTTGATCGTGATTGGAAAAAAATAGAAGCTTTTGTTGGCTCAAAGACAGTTATTCAGGTAATTTAAATGTATAACAATTTTTAGGAAATAATTAGAGCTGGAAAATTCAAAAGAATGCTACTAATATTTAAAAATGAAGCTTGATATTAGCTTCTCTCAATATGCAGCTTAGATACTTTAGTTCATTAGTGATTCTCCATGGTACAGCTCATGTGGGCTAGAGACAAGAATAATAGTCTTTTCTTTGAAAATTTTTGACTCCTCAAGTTTGATGCTTCTTAAATCCAATATTTCCTGCGTGTTGTTCGATGTGTTTATGTGTGTATACTTCAATATGTTCTTGTAATGGTGTCTTTTGATTACAATCTATGGAGAGATGCTATTTTAGCCTTTAAGGTGTGAAATACATTTCCAGTGATGCTTGAGCTACCATGAAATGAACAAATAAGAGTGATATAATATTTTATAGGGTATCTATATAAAGAGGGATTAATTATCTAAGAATACAAGAGGTTAAATGAGCAGTTTATGAATTGTTCTTAATCATAAATGTGTTTTTCATATACAGTGAACCTCGCTAGACTTACAAGGCTTATGCACTTGGCTGCCTTTTTTTAATCGGATGATCAGCCACCTAAAAACTACACAGATCAACTAAGCATTTTTTTTTGTAAATTTATTATCATAAACCTCATAGAGGATTTTTGTCTTATTATAAACACAAAATAGCTTTCGTTATAATTTTTTAAACTCTCCATCTTACAAAGATTTTGTTTTCTTAGGAGAGACTAGTATGGAAGTGGAATATTTGTTCTGAATCAATGCTATGATTTTGATGTTAAAAAATCTCCATCCACTTACTGTCACCAGTTTATGCCTATTATCATCATCATCATAATACACTCTTTGTTGTTAATGCTTTCAACCAAGGTTCGTTGTTTCGGGTACAGGACCCATCTTGATGATCTATTGGACTGGTACGTACTGGTGTATCGACACATAGTACGCCGGTGCATATCAGTATTTCAGTGAGGAAGAAAAAAGGGAGAAGATAAAGGGACGATGGAGGAAGGAAGAAGGAAGAAGAGGAAGCGATGGAGGAGTAAGGAGGAGGAAGAAGAAGAAGAAAGAGGAGGAGAAGATGCAGCGATAGCATACTTGGGAAGCAGTAGCAGTGGTTAGGTAGCGACGGGAGCAGTGGCATTGTACACGAGAAGAGGGCTCACATTTGCGGACCCTAATTTATTTATTTTTCTTTTTTTTAATGCTGAGTTGGATAGGGTCCTATCACTTTTTATTTCTTATTATTTTAATTGGACCACCCAAAATGGAGGTTGTCCGTGTATCGGCCCATGTTCGGACTGGTACATATTGCCCGTACCATACCATGTCAGGCAATACAACAATTGTTTCAACGAACATCTTAATGTATAAATAATTTCATTATGTCCTTGCTTTTTAACATGTCTTGTACCAAATATTTGACTGCATCTTGTTACACTTTTTTATAACCATCCATTAGTTTGCCTTAAAATTCTTTTGATAACTTTGTCCAACATGAACAGACTAAAAAACTTCATCTATAGTCTTTAACCAAGTGTGGCAACTGGTGAGACCTTTCATGAATCATTTGTAAGTTTAGCATTCCTTGTCACAAATTTTCTTTTATCATCCATGAAGCTGCTCTCTAGTTATGTACTCTATGGAACACCATCAACTAGTTTATCAATTGTACTTTGTAAATTTGGTTTTAGTAAAATAACATCTTTCATCTAGGTCAAGAAAAGCTATCAGAGCCACCCACAAAATTTTCAATCCCCTGAATGCTCAATCCATGACAATTTTCCTGTATCTTTTTTATCAAATTTTATTATGTTATAGTCCTTAACCAAGTGTGGCAAGAGCTTTCTGAATCATTTGAAAGTTTAGTATTCCTTGCCACAATTTCCCTTTTATCATCCATGAAGTTGCTCTCTAGCTTTTACTTTATGGAATTAGTCTTGCTACCATCAACTAGTTTATCAATTATACTTTGTAAATTTAGTTTTAGTAAAATAACATCTTTCGTCTAGACCAAGTAAACATATCCGAGCTACTTGGAAAATTTTCCTTATGTAAAATAATGGTTCGCACTTTACCCCAAGAAATGGCAATCTTCCTTGTGTATGGATGGCACATGGGACCTGTTAATTTTTTCAGAATTGTTATGACATATGTTATCCATGTTCCATGGTAATATTTTTAGTCACTAAGTTTAACTATGGTTGATTTTTTGGGTATCATACAAAATTTTAATTTAGATCTTGTATATAGTGCTTTTAATTCATTTTATGTGCAGCTCAACTACTAGATGGACTTTGTAAGAAGCTGCAAGATATAATAGGACCTTCAAGATATCCGAATTGATTAGTCCAATTTTGTAAATTTATCATCTTTGTTGTAGGTTCTGGATCAGTGAGATTACACCGAGGCTGTTGTCAAAAGACTCAAAACTAGGCTAAAAGCACATTTTGATTATTTCATTTGTTTGCATCCCCTGTTTTGGTCCTGGAATAGGTTATTTGATCAATGTGAGAAACAAACAACTGTGTGAAACAATATAACATTGACAAACCTGCTTGTTACTTGTTTTCATGTATGTTGTAGCCTAAAGGCTCAAAAAGCTGGTTCTTAAGTTGATTATTTTGTCCCAGTGTTTTCATGTATGTTGTAGCCTAAAGGCTCAAAAAGCTGGTTCTTAAGTTGATTATTTTGTCCCAGTGTTTTCATTGATATTTGGCATATATATAAGTAGAAATTGTGTTAAAGTTTTTTAGTGTTGCATTTGGGAAAAATCTGAAGTTAATATAAATTTATAATTGAACTTGCATCATCTCAACTAAGATTAGAACCTCTATATGCAGATAAGGAGTCATGCACAAAAGTACTTCTTAAAGGTCCAAAAGAACGGAAATGGTGCACATGTCCCACCCCCTCGGCCCAAGCGTAAAGCAGCACATCCATATCCACAGAAGGCCTCTAAAAATGGTTAGAGACTTTTGAATCAAGGTCTCTTTCATGTAATAATGGAAATAATCCAATTCTGCATTTTTAGGCATTGCAGCTCCTCCATTAGCTCGACCAATTCCATTGCAAACTTCATTTTTGCTTGAACGAGGCTATGCTCTTGGGACAGATTCATCTTCCAAGCTCAGAAACTCTACTACAGGTGCAAAGTTATCTTCCTAGGTATTAGTAGATACACTGACCAAAGGGTTTAAATTTTGTGGTTTATTTATCTATAAACAAAGGGATCACACACAAGTAATTGTTATTAGTAGTTAGTACCCCTCAAGTCACTACACATTTTAATTGAGGATACTAATATGTAGAAGGTATAAAGTCTGGAGGAGCTATTGTAGTCGACAATTGCTGTTCAAGCAGCACCGGAAGCCCTCGTGGGTCTCTACCAAATTGTGAGAAAAACTGTCAAGGGAATCAAGTGCCATCACTTCGTGGTGAGTACCATTTTGCATGAATTAGATAAACCTATAACAATATTGTGCCTGAATTGATGTCATACTGTCAATTTATTATTGCTAATTTCGTATGAGATCATTTTGTTTGTTGTTTGACATGGTTCTGAAAGGTGTTAGCCTTTATAGCTTTTAACAGTTGAAAAACTTTGCTGTCCTCACTTGGAGAGAATTGAATCCAACATATGATGAGCATAGACCAAGATCCTGAGCTAGTGGTACTCCAGCTTTAAAAGTTCTTTTTTTCCTACTCTTAGCTGTTGCTGGAAAAAGAAATGAAGTGCACAGTGCACAACATTTAACTAGAGGCTGCTGAAAGCTCATACTTCTAACCTTGACACTTGCGATTATTTTGTAACACAAAATAGTCACAAGTGCCATATGTCCAGTAGATTATTTTTGTAACACAAAACAATGTTGCAAGCATCAGTTTGTTGTGTGGTGAGATTGTCTCGTTTGAGTTTGTCATTCTCAAGATACGAAAATTGTTGTCTCTAGACTCTCTACAAACAAAAATATATAGGATCAAGGAAAACAAAAAGTGAAAAGAGAAATAGGCATTTAGACCAAGTATAGACCGGGAAAACAGAATTCTTCCAATCAAGGTAATTATAAAAAAAAAATGTATATGAGGTATGTGTAAAATCATGTATAAGGAATTGAAAGCAAGTCAAGTTTTAGCACCATTGCTAACACTGCACTGGGACATGATGCATTGAATTACCTGGTCATTAGCATTATCTTGTGTTACACTTAATTCACCATAATTTTGTTGCTTTTCATGAAGTTGTCAAAGATATTCATTGAGAACCTTTCAGCAATTTTGACTAGGCATTGCGGAATTCCAATCACCAAAGCTTCTTGTGTTTTTCTCATTATTTCCTAGAGTGGATTCTGGGACATTCTTGTTGGCATCTAGGTGAGTTACATACATGCCTGTAGAAGACCTGTGGCTTGGGAGCCTACTGATGTAGAAAAATTGTTAGGAGGATATCCTACATGACCTGCCTAGCTCATCAATATTTTAGAGGATATTAGAACTTGATCACTTTTCGGGAAAAATATTATTTGAAGAAGTGAGTGCTTGAATTTAAATGTTCACAGAATCACATGAAGCATTTCCTTTTGAGTTCGCTAAAACTTAAATTCTTAAGGGTTATACAAAACCAGCTTTGAGTAATAGATCATTAAGAGATAACCATAAGTTTAGAACTGCCTAACAGCCGAAGTGAACTATGTGGTCAAACTTGTAGCTAAACATTCTAATTGTGGATTTTTCTAAATTAATTTGTAACAGTGTTTTTTGGATATATTAGTGGGAGGGTAATATCACACAAACTGGGATACTGGCTGTGTTGATGCTTACCATTCGAATATTTGTCAACTAGGTACCTGTATAGGATCTTGTGCCATGTCAAGGTTGTGTTGACATACACTTGCAATGTGATTGGTTTTTGCCAGTTGATATAGGGCACATGCCAGCTTGTGCTAAACAATAAGTACCAATCTGCTCCAGGACTGGTATTGTAACAGGACATTCAATGGCTGTTCCGACCAGTATGTTCTATCCACCAAAGGAAACGTATAACACCAGTTCATGCAAAGGGAATTCTTGATATCACACTTAACTAGCTTATATAATGGTTTGCTTCTTAATGGCTAGTCAAATAAATTTTCACATCTAATGGGGAATTCAGTCAATCAAATTCTGTATAGTTGCTGTAAAGGCTTGCATAAAAAATGACAATCCAGTGCACATGTTCCCTGCCAATGTAGGGTTTGGGAAGGGTCAACATGCACAATCTTATCCTTCTCATGCACTTTCATATTCTACTTATTGTGGGTTAGGAGCTCAAAATAGATTTTTCATAACATATTGCAACAACCCCTTTAGACTGTATCGTTGATGGTTCAATTTGCAATACCTAATTTTAAGTTTATAATGAAGCTGTTTAACCATGTTGTATTCAGAAATTTGTTTATGTTACCCTTGTGGCTACTTCTTCTGTTTCTGCATACAATGATATAAACCTTGGCTTTTACTTGTGTTACTTTTTCTCTTTGTATATGAAGTTATGCCAGACTTCATTCAGGTATACAACTTTTTAGGCAGTGTTTTTGATCCAAGCACAAGTTGCCATCTACAGAAGCTAAGGGAGATGGATCCTCTTGATGTTGAAACGGTATGGCATTTACTACTGTCAGATTCCATCTGCTATCCCATACTTGTAAGAGTAGAAGCTTCAAAGTGTACCTAGTAATACATATTACCTGATGAACTTAGTATCTTAGTTATTCATTGTGATTATCATTAAAATTCTTTAACTCCGGAGTGCAAATTAGAAGTTCATGGTAAATAAATTTCAATCCGAACAGTGTTTCCAAACCTGTGCATTTGGGGAATCTATAAGACCATAACTAAGTGAACTTTGATGATTAATTTGAAGGTTGTGCTTCCTAACTTGAGTTATAGTCTATGTTAATTAAAAATAGAAGTCAAAATATTATGATTCTAAAATTTTAAAGAACTAAAAAAAGATTATAGCTGGGGTCATCTAAATTAAGAGCTTGGACATCTGTTACAATCAAAGTTCCTGTGAAACATGGCAGTTGTTCTTTATTTTGTGCTTATGTAGGTTAAAAGTTAACTATAAACTTGATTACACTTCCTTAAGCTATGATTATGATTTTATCTAGCACTTGATGTTGAATAATCTCTTCTTAGTACAAATTCAGCATGTAGCTAGGCACTATAAATAGCCTCTTAACTCTTGTTAGCTTGCTCATTGTGGTGAATGCACTACCATAACAGAGGGGATCAAATTTTATTTAGGCATTCCTTCTCTCCATTAATGATTAATCATCTTTTACCTAGTAAATGATCTCATGGTCTAAATGTATGAGTTATTGTTAAAAGTGCCGCTTATGTTATCTGTTGTGGGAAACAACTGTATGCCGTGGCCTTGGGGCCGACGCGGCTTGATTCGGGTCCGAATGCGCGGGGATCCGGCGTGGCGCTCCTCGGGGCAGCCGGGGTGGCCGGTCACGATGGTCCTGAGAGAATGTCGCGTAGGGGCGAAGCTTCTTCGCGGCGCTAGGAAGATGCAACCTCCTCCTTGTACCTACACACAGGTCGGGTCGGAAGCTCGGCCCGACCCCTCTGACGGCCAAGTCAGATGATGTGGGAGGGAGTTTTCGTAGTGAAGGAGTGTTCCCTGTTCGTTTAGAACTCGGGGGTATTTATAGGGTGGTTTAGCGTTACCTGGCGTGCCTGCCTGCGGGAGGCAGGATCGTACCTCTGATGGCGTCTGACACTGCTACTGACGCTGCGTGGAGAACCGAACTTTCGCAGGGTATGGGCGAGCTTCGGTCGTCGTCCTCCTCTGCCTTGGTCAAGCGCGCGGGGTCAGACAACGACTCCGTCGTTGTCTGAGAGCGGACGACGTCAGCACATGTCGAGTCAGCATTATTGCCCTCCTTCTCGGACAGAGTGGCGCCCAGGTGGGGCCGACGTCGTGACACGTCATGTCGCCATTATTACCCCTATCATTATCTGCTTTTTTCCACATGTTTATTATATATCTAAATTTCTTTTTATTTAGTATCTTCTTTGATATCCTACATTATGCCTTTAAATTTAATCTCAACTTAGATCTGCATTCTTTAATGTTTCCATGCAGAAAAGTCATGTTATATGTTTGCTTCATTTAATGTTCGTCTGTATTTATTTAAATGTTTCTCTGTTGGGGGGATGACTAACTGTTTTATTTCATTTTCTAGGTTTTACTGTTAATGAGAAATCTCTCTATCAACTTGACAAGTCCTGATTTTGAAGACCATGTAAGTCTCTTCTCTATGATCAGTTCATCTGTGTACAGGAAACTAGATTATTTTATTCCTGTTCTTATATCTTTCACTGCCATGCATGTTTGGAATATGTCCTTTATTATTGGGAAGATTTGATGAGAGCAATGATCATGACAGTCACATGTTTATTAAAATGTATAATTTTATATTTGAGCATCACATGCGGGGGACATCTCTTTGTCCATGGCATGAGGCAGTATGACTGGAGGTGCAATCCAAAATGTGCCCAATGATGGTACTCCTTTATGCTCCAACAAACATCATATGACTGAATGAATAGGTCATGCAGGAGTTCCCTGGCAAAGTTGTGTCTATTGCTACATAACCTGAAACTGTGTAGTTCATCATATGCAGAATGGTCTGAAATGCTTGACACAAGAATTATTTAATTTCTAAGATTGCGTGGCTGAGTTCATAACTCTTCATATGTGGATACAAGAAAAAGTTTGCTTATAATAGAGAGTTGTTACCCGACATAGCGGAAATTTCACATGACGAGGAGGTTGCTGGAGACACATGCTGTATTAGTTTCGTATGGCTCTGAAAATTGAATAAGTAAACTTAAATTTATAGTATTTCTCATAATCTAATAGTTTAAGGCTTTAAGCATGTGTTATAATAGTGTCCAATCACCTATTTTGATTCCTTGTCTTGTTTAGTGTACTTCCCAGAATTCCTTGCAAAATGGTTTACTATTTAGTGTTGTATGGAATGACATAATTTGTATCATGATTAGTTCCTGCTTTGGTACGTATAGAACTGCATTTCAGTGCTTAGAGTTTTTTTCAATGCCATAGAACAACATTATGATATTCAACACGAGGAACAACTATAATTGTAAGCATACCCTGTACTTCCTGGAAATATTGAAGGCTTATATATCTGTTATATGTAAACAAATTTTCATCTCTTACACCATGTGGAGATCCTTATATGTGGGCATTTCTAATCTCAAATTTCGAGGGGCATAGGGATAATCAAGAAAGGATCTTGTGTATTTACACTTTTGCAAAACCTACCTCGTGAATTTACAGTTCATGAGGAATGTCTAGATGCAATCTTGAGTATTCACATTTCTAGAAAGCCCATCACTACATTAACGTACAGTTTGATTCACGCAGATAAAGCTACTCTCTACGCATGGTTCTGATCTGGTGGAACCAAAACCAGCCAGTGTTGACAATCTACTTATCGCAAATTAACCTTTGAATGCCTTATACATGTAAGCTAAACTATAGTTTGTACAGTTCCGTTAGCCGATTGTAATATTCTGATGTTTCTCTATTTCTTAAAAGAAAAGGAAGCTGTGTTTCTCAGTGATACATATGTATATTGCAGGGTAAAATATGTATGATGGTCTGGCTTCCGTAGCTATCACATAAAAGATGTATTTGACTGTTCTTTAGCATTCAAGGAAAGTTGCCAGCTCTGGAGTTGACAAAGAAGAATATGCCTACATTGTTGCTGTAGGTTTCATCCAAGAAAAAAGCCTTGCTACTGGTGTATATTCACAATCTCACTGTAAGTGGCTATGGTGATGTTGCTCTTCTTTCTACAAATTCCAATCTGTGAAGGTATTGCTAACCACACCTTCGTTCTGAGATCTGCTTACTCCACAATAGTCGTCTTGCGGAGCCGACGTCCCTTGTGTTGCACCCAATGTGCTTGTGAAATAGCCTGCGAAGACCATCTGGTTTCAAAGCCCTCCGTGGTCGGTCTTCGTGGTGTTTGGTGAATGTAAAAAGTTTTTTTGTACTTGGATCATGTTGGATTCTCGTTTCTTAGTTTGTGGTGGTAGTTCTTCCTATGGGTGCCACAGCAATATTTGCCTGTGGAAACATCATTAGTTTTCCTACGGAATATCTGTTTTTTTATGTTACCCTAAACTTGCAGCAATGGCCAACTATAGGCCACAAGAAACAACCTGAATATTCTGACCTCTAATTTATTTTCAGCATCAGTTTTGCCGACTTGTTAAAAACATCATATGCATAAACTTCATCTCTCTCTATTAAACTTATTTGATTTCGAGTCTGCAATGTAGTAATCATATCGTCGAGTCTTTAAAACTGTACCTTTATGCATAGTGACGAGTGACTCAGAGGTGATAGCAAATATATTGATGATTAATCACGTCGGCATCACGTGAAAATTATCGTGGATGAAAAAAAATTCAGGTTACCTTGCTTGTTCGCTCACGTGAACAAAAGTTCAAGGTTCGAAGTTATCTTCTCTTTATCGTTTACGTGGATAAAATGCTAAGGGGGGATATTAAAGTAGTTACAGATTGTTCCCTCAGGTCAAAATATAAAAGGTAATCATTGGTGTTACGTCTAGGGTTCTCTTAAAAAAAAAAAGAAAAATCATACCCACTAAGTCTTCGGTGATTAACTTAACTGTTAGAGGGATCAAGTAGAGAAACTTCTCCTGACATCGATTTTAGTGATTTTAGTGCAGGCAACATCTTGGGAGCTCGACGCTTCCACCTTAGAGTCATCTCGTAGCTACTTCGGATACTTCTATGCTTTTGAGTTTAGATCATATCGAGTTGACTCAAATATCAATAATGATTTTTCCTCAATATTTTGGTGCTATGAGGGCTTGATATCATAGGAACGTCCACCTATCAATCACCCCAACAAGCGCTCTAGTGATGAAGCATTGCTTTTGATCCATAACACTTTTTACTCAAGGGGGATAGTTTTTGTCCTTCCCTCACATGGACACTCCACTTCGATGCTAACACTAGTTCAATGACCTAAACCATTCACCCCCGGGGATGACCTCAAGCCACCTACGTGCCCTCGTCGATGTGTTTCTGAACCTCACTCAGTATGTGCATACGCTAACTGATATGATGCAGGTTATCGCCTTGCTCTTGCCTCTATTAGCCCAACAGACAATGCCACCATCTCTGCTGCAATCATTACCTCAATCGCCACTAGCTCCAGCACCCATTAGGATTTCCTCGCTCGACGCGGTGCTTGCATCTCAAGATCGTCCAAGGCCTATGGAACCGTCGGTTAGGGAGTGCCTCGCTCCCCGACCATAAATTCAGTGCACTATCGCACCACCACCCCATCCTGCTCAAATATGAGACCTAGTTGGCGTATTCGATGGATGACTCCTTGAGGATCCAACTACGACAAGTAGACTAATATCTAGAAGAGATGCGGTGAGAGTTTTAACAATCATGAGGGGAAAGGTCGGACAACCCCACCTTCGGTCAATCCTCATTCACTCAAAACATCTAGGAGGAGCCAATCGCAATGAACTTCCTCCTCCCATCATTGGAGTCCTTTGACGGCAGTATTAACCTGATAGTGCACACTACCACCTTCCATGTCCGGATGTCGTTGTATAACACTTTGGATGCCTTGATACACTGTGCCTTCTCGATAACGTTAAGAGGCTCGACATGAGAATGATACACTCGCTTGAAGCCCCTCTCGATTAGGTCCTTTGCTCAGCTCGCAAAAAATTTTAAGCTTTATTTCCTCGGGAATATGCGCCCGAGGCCCTCAATGATGATGCTTCTTGGACTCAGGCAAGGGGAGGAAGAAACAATTTTTGACTTTATTACTCGATTCACTAATGAGATCCAAGGTATGCATAAAGCTTATCTATCGCTTGTAATATATACTTTCATGATGGGGCTCAAGTCCTATCACTTTTTTTTGTCATTGGTAGAGAGGCCATTGATGATGGTACCCGTGGTGCTCCAGAGGGCAAACTAATATATTGTCGTGTAGGCAATAGTCTCAAGTAAGTGTGAGGAGATACGCAAAAGACTGAGATAGGAGCGACTACCATCAACCCCGAGGTTACCACGACGAAGAAAAAATGGTCGACCTGAGCCACCTCGCCCAAGTTTGAGTCGACTCTCTTAAATATGACTAGAATCGAAGTCTTTTTGCAAATAAAGAAAAAAGAACTTTTGAAAGATCCTCAATCGATGAAGACACCGCTAGAGAGGAGAAACAAATCCAAGTACTATCGCTTCTACTGTGATTATGACCATGATACAGAGGACTATCACAATTTGTAAGAGTAGATCGAGGAACTCATTCATTAAGGACGCTTCGGGAGGTTTGTCCGAAGGCATTGGGAACCCTCGCCTTGACCTCAAGAGCTGATAGAGAGACATATCAACGTTATCATCGGTGGACTTATCTCGGGAGAAGATAGCTCCTCGGATTACAAAGCCTACACCTAAGATACCATTGGAAAGCACTTGAGGTTCGAAAATAGCTCGAAAAAAACCTTTAAGGAAGAAGAGATTGAGTACCTTGACCTAAACCATGATGATGCCCCGAAAGTTTTTGGAAGAATGATTAATGCCCAAATAAAGAGGGTTATAATCGACATAGGTAACTCTATCAATATACTCTACTTTATTCTTGATCGATCCAGACGTCGCCTAACACCACTTGAACATCTCTCTCAAAGCTCGGTTGGTGAAGCAAAAGCCTCGCAAGTTTATTCTTGATCTCCAACAGGCGAATAACATTGAAGTAGACAAGCTGTTTGGAGCAAGATTTATTATCGAGGTATAGTACCTCCAATGGCTTGCTAATATTATGTTGGTTAAAAAGTCTAACGAAAAATGGAGGATGTGTATTGATTATATTGATCTTAACATAGCATGTTTGAAGGACAACTACTCATTCCTTCAGATCGATCAACTAGTTGATGCTACCTCGAGTCATGAGCTCCTCACCTTCATAGATGCATTTTTAGAATATAATAAGATACAAATGGCTCCACAGGATAAAAAATATACCTCCTTTATCACCGATCGAGGCATATATTGCTATCGATTTATGCCATTAGGGTTTAAAAATGCGAAACAAATGATGGTGAATAAAATTTTCAAGCACCAGATCGAGAGGGACATTGAGGTGTATGTAGATGACATGATTGTTAAAAGCAAAACAACAGGCTCACATTTGGCAGACTTGGTCGAGACATTTTAAGTTTTGAAAAGGTTCAATATGTGCTTTAACCCATCTAAATATGCTTTCGGAGTTAGCTCGAAAAATTTTTTCTATTTATTATTCACTAGAAAGGAATAGATGTCAACCTCGAGAAGGTGCGAGATATATTGGAGATGCACCCATCTTGGTCGGTAATGGAAATACAACAACTAATAGAGCAAATAGCAACACTTAGCCAGTTTCTATCCTAATCTGATGATAAGTGCCTACCCTTCTTCTAGGTGTTAAAGAATCCAAAGGGCTTTATATGGTCCAACGAGTGTCAGGAGACATTTAAAGAGTTGAAGCACCACCTCACCCGGTTGTTATAGCTCTCTTCCTTCACTTTGGGTGAAACCCTAAGCCTCTATCTCACCACCATCAAGCAAGCTGTTAGCTCAGTGTTGGTGTAGGACAACTCAGGAATCCAGAAGCCTATTTATTATGTCAGCCATGTCTTAAGCAAACTAGAGGAGCGATACCGCCCGCCCCCCCTGTCGACCACATGAACAAAACACTTAGAGGAGAATATTAAAATAATTATATATTATCCCTTCCAAAGCCAAGAGAAGTCTATCACAACGGAAGCACAGGATGAAATATACTTGAGGCACGAGTCGAGAAAACCTGACCCATTAGATATTGCATTCCGAGCCCCCTAACAAGAACCCCAAAGTCACCTTGTAAGGAAAAAGATCAAGGTCACCTTGCCCATTTGCCTGTATGGACAAAAGTTTGAGACAAACCCTTCGAGGCTATCTCTCCCTATCGATCACATGAACAAAACACTAAGAGGAGAATATTAAAACAATTATATATTATCCCTTCCAAAGCCAAAGAAAAAAGATAATTCCCGATGCTATATTGAGTGGCTCTCTTATTAAAAAAAACCCATACCTACTAAGTCGTCGATGACTAACTTGCGTCGAAAGGATTGGATCAAAAAACTTCTCCTGACATCGATCTTAGTATAAGCGATGTCTCGAGAACTCAATGCTTCCACCTTTAAATTTGAATCATGTCAAGTTAACTTAGACATCAACGACGATTTCCCCAACATGCGATATTCACATGTTCATCGCCCCTCAAGTCTAGGAGGTATCTCTCAGACTTCATGCATAGCGAGGAGTGAACCAGAGGTATGATCACGTAGCACAGGATGATGCTCCAGTTGAACATCTTTAAGCAAAATGAATGGTGATGAAATGTAGGTGCCAAAACAAATCCATCAACATGCAAAATTATAAAGCAATCAGTGGAGTTGGAACTGGCACAATTAAGACACTCGGAAAGCTTTAGTGCATGATTAGCTGCAAGGAAACTTGATACAAACTGGAGATATGAATTCCACGCACAAGATCATTCAAAATTGCTTCCAAGTAAACAAACAGAACAAACCAAAAATAAGGATCAGTGGTTTCACTTAATGCGATTCCCACAAGGAGAAAGCATTAATCGAGCCATCTAGTAATACCATCTTCATTCAGCACTGCAATAATCTCGATGCTTACATCCAAGACAGCCTGCACAATGCAAAACCAGTCAAGTCTCACTAAATGATACAACACAGTGTTAACTATTCAAAAAGATGCAACATGGGCCTGCCATTTGCCAAAGATACTATTAGGCCACTGACAAAGCCAGTATCATTCCATCGACCTTATTAGATAAAACTTGCGGTGATTAGCTCATCACTCGTGAAGCTCGATACCCTAATTTTTTTATGAACAAAATATATAAAATGTTCTTGGCTCTGGCATCATCATATTTGTGTACCAGTGTCATGCATATGGTCAAAGCTTAAACACCAGAAAATTTATTCCACCAGCAATTCCCATGGTAGAACCATATTTATAGCTGACATGCAATTGACAAGCTTGCACAATTGCATCTATCATCCATAATAAAACTTCATTCAAAGATGTAGAAGATCTATTGAATTAGGTTTTTAGGTGTGATTGAAGT